CAATTTATTCACGATCACAGTCACTATCTGACTTCCAATACAAATGTTGATGAGTAGATTTCTGATGTGATAAATAATTTTTCTATGTGCATGGTATCGAACATGTAATGGTAGGAGTCTCCTTTTCCACTCTGCCAATCTTTTGATCCCGTAATTCTTTATTTCAAAGGAAATGCTAGAAATGGTATATTTTCCAATATTCCGTGCAGTGTGAAATAAAGCTACTAAAAGTCTTCCCAAAGACATGATAGTGCAAAGAATCGATCCTACATATTGAGTCCAATAAACAAAATATACTGACCATTTATAATCAGAAGCAGCATTTGGCATATAGGGACTGTAAGACACACCTCCGTTAAAAGTATAACTTATGGTGCAGATCATGAATAAAACAACGCTGGCCTCAGATCGTGCCAACACAAACTGAGGGTTAGCTGTTTCTGTCATCACCCAGTACTTCTTCACGCACAACTTTAACTTGTCAAAGTCCATTATTTGGTCTCCTTGTGGTTCCGCTGCCAAAATTCTTGTTTGCAATTCTTTGTACTTACTTTCCAAATACCTTTTACTTGTAAATACCGTTAAAGCAGAAGAACTCAATACAATGAACGCGTAAACATTCATGCAGACAATCACCACTTGGAAAACATCTTCAATCACGCCTGTGAATGCTTGGATGATAACATTTACTGTAAGCGTCACTATAAGGATACCCAATGCTGTCAAGTTCACTATTATATCTCTATCACTCATGGATCCTAGAGAAGGCATGAAATGAGTGGTTGAAACACACAAGAAAACAGTGCTACTAATTTTAGCGCCTTGATCATACACACCTTCCATCGGGGTAGTTAGATCCATTGACAACTTCACTGCGACGGCTAACACAGTCAAGGAAGCGGCGTTGAGAGAAGAAAATCTGCAAGGGAACCATAACTTTCTATGGCGGACAGAGATCACTGCATCAATGAATAGTGAAACATCCATATTAGAGACGCTACAGCAGCGTATAGGCCTATCCATGGCATTGGTGCTTTAGAGTCCATCATTTTGTTCAATTATTCAGCTCTCTTCCCACGGCTGCTTTACTTTTGATTTAAGATGAGGATATGCTCGAGTGGTGGAAATTTCTTTGTTNGGATTCAAGAGTAGTGAAAATTTCCAGGGCAACTTCAACTTTTATTTTCAACGCTTTGATGCATCCATTAAAGAAAAGTATATCCAATAATAAAACCTTGCAATGTGTCATCTCAAGGATTATTTTGAATCATTCAATTTATTAAAGGGTATAGAAAATAATATATGTTGCGAATTTCGACTACATCATCATTCATATCTTATTAAAATTATTCTTAATATTGTTACAATTTGGAATCTCTAACTGATTTGTGCCTACTTCAGATTAATAAATCAATGGCTGAGATTTAGCCTTGAATGTTTAAGTTGAGGAAATAAAGTCAACCTTCAAATTTCATCAAACACAGTTTCTACACGAACAATGAATTTGATGCTTTTCATACTAATTCTGTTCATTAAACTAAACTGGCCAGAAGCTGTCAAAACCAATATAATAATATAGAGACAGATTAGAGCCTTTTAACTCTGAACATTTGTAAGCATATTGCACACTTTTTAAAACCGGTATTTATAAAACCCAAGATTTGGAAGCAATAAGCATATTATAAAGTTTTCAAAATCCAACATTAATTGCTAAAATTCTTGATTTGGATCTTCAAATGTATCTCCATTTACAACGAAATGTTGTGAATAACAGATTTAGTTCTTCATTTTATTTATCATGTTGTCGAAGTACTTTTATTTCGATCCCCCAGTTGAATCCATTATATTCCAGTTTTTCTTCTTAGGAATACCTCTTAGCAAGTTAGTAAATAGTTTGTTGTAGTTTGACCCAAATTCTAGTGAGTGTTGGAGTTGTATTTAAAGTGGTCTTGGATAAATAAAAATTATGGACTGGGAAAATCGTTGTTGCATTTTCGCTAGCTGCATGCTCGAGCGAAATTGTCAAATTTGGAACAAAGAATTTTCGACTACTTCTTGCCCCCTATCGCTCGACACTGCTCGAGCGAAGATGCTTCCTGACTTTTCGCTTTGGAATGCGTTTTGGACTTCAGATCATCTACAACTTGATTTCTAGGGTTTTTTTATATATATAATAGTGTGTGTTGTTCATACAACAGAATATAAAACATTTCGAGAGATTTAGATCTTAGTTGAGAGTATTGAGATCTTGTAAACATAATTGTTATTGATTATAATGGATCTCTTCTCCTCTGTCCGTGGTTTTTTCCAGTCTTAGATTTCCATCTAAATCTTCGTATTCTTTATTTTGTTCTTGTTTACTTCATTATTATCATAACCTTTCGGTCAATTAACAACATAGTTGCAATCTAAATTAGATTTGTAAAGCTTTATTCTCGTTGTTTTTGATTGCACATAGTAAAAAGTCAGCTCCTTTTCTATTCCAGTTTAACCTTTGCGACTGCACTTTGGATTTTAAGATGGGGATGCTCGAGGTCATAGGAAATTTCTTTGTTATTTCATTGCAACTTCAGCTTGTATTTTCTACCCCTTGATGTATCCATTGAAGAAAAATATATCCCATAACGCGTTGATGTATCCATAAAGAAAAACATATCCAATAAATTATTGGGTGAGGTTTGGAGTGGGAATTCTTTTGGAGTAATAAGAGGAAATACCCCAGGCCCTCAGCCTTGAATTTTTAGTTATATCCTGCTTAATAAGAATAAGTTATCATTCACATGTTAATGCTCATAATATTATATTAATTGTTGATTGATTTAAATTTTATAAACTATTTAAGCTAAGCCTAAAAGGGACAAAGTTAGTATATGAAATGAATTATGTTTTGAAAAACATAACTTGTCACACAAATACCCTCTTAGACTGTGCCTTTGATACATAGAGGATGTTTGGTGGGGATGAAAATTAGATTTTTAGTAGATTGTGATAGAAGTTTTTAAAATATGTGGTTTAAAAGTTGCGATACCCATAAAAGATGTATTTAATATTTATTGTTTGACTTTAACTTAGATTCGAAACCAAACATGGGCATAATACCTCTAATAAAGTAAACTCTTTTATTTATTGAACATAGAAATTCTAGGATATGAAAAACCATTATCTACATTGTTTAAATTGAAATTTCAACGAGAGTTACACATTTTCATCTAAAATAACATTTCATTAATGACCGTTAAAAATTGAATCCCAAATAAACCACTTCAATTGAGAGATACATTTTCAACTGATTTTCAATGATTTGCTTGGACTAATTAAAACCTAAATTTATTAAGCATATTATAAACTTTTCAATATCCGAAGGAATTTGGGTTTGACGTTGTGGTCTAAATATGAAAATTTAATTAATTTACGAAAAACATAACGCCGCTAAAATCTCATCCCAAGTTATGACATTGATTAAGGTATCATATGAAATTATACTCATTCATCTATTGAAATTTTCGAGTTTTCGTATCTGAAGATCATTGTCTAACATATTTACATAGTTAATATCTTAATGATAGTACTAATCTTCGTTAAAATAACATTTCATGATTGTTCAAAAAATGATGTGACAGTAAATTATCGATGGCAACATCAAAATATATTTTAAGTTGTTGAACAATGTAACATTGACCCTACTGACATGTAGACATAATATGAAGTCCAGAATAGTTCTCCATGCATTCTATAAATCTAGACTTGCTTCCATTTTCATACAAATTAAGAAAATATAATTGAAATTATAAATTTTATTAACATTTTCCCTCTCTTTTTATACTTCTCGTTCTCAGGTTGGTTGAATTAAAATTTAAATTATAATATTTCCTAATTATAATTGAATAAAAAAGAAATTAAAAAATAGAATTATATTTTTTTTTGTCAATTTTTATAATAATAAAATCAAAATAAAGGACTTTTGACAATAAGAAAAGTGGGGAAAAAAGCCCTTTCACATGGGCTCAACTAAATTTTCAATGAATTCAAAAAGAGGAAAATACACACACGTGATTTTTAAATTTCCAATTCAAAAATCAGATTTTAAAGTTTTTTGCTCAAAAATCAAAAGATAATTTAACTTTTGAATGTTGATAATAATATTATAAAATAAAATTAATATACATCCCCATAACCCAACCCCCACCCTACCCGATTTCACTCCCAACTTGTAAATCATTTCTCATTTGTGATTCTTTTGAAACGAAGGAAGATCAAGAGAATGTGGCACTGCTGTGCGCCCATCGAACCGAACAACACTAAACCCAACCCATGATTGAAACCAACAACCCGAACCAACTCTTTATTTATCTCATAGTGCTTTTAATCTCATCAATTAGCCGAGGGATAAAATCTAGTTGAGAATTGGGAAGCTTAGAAGATTCATGTGTAAATCGGTCATGAAAGTGATTAATCACTAAAATTGTTGATTTGGATCTTCAAATAATGTATCTTTATTTTCCAAAGAAATGTTGTGAATAATATACTTAGTTCCGCATTTTTTTTTTTTATCAAATTGTCGAAGTACTTAGTTTTTCGATCCCCTAATTGAATCCATTTTATTCCAACTTTTTGTCTCAGGAATACCTCTTAGCACGCTAGTAAATAGTTGTAGTCTAAATTAGATTTGTAAAGCTTTATTTTGATTGCACATAGTAAAAAGTTAGCTCCTTTTCTTTCAACCTTTGTGAAGAATTACAAAACACTTGTTTATTCCACCACTTAAGGCCAATTTTTAGTCTAGAAAAATTATTCTAGAAAACCAAGAGCTTTTGTCTCTGCTATTGATTGTTTCTAGTTCCTTACAAAAATGTACTAAAATTGGTCACCTCGAATCCACATCTTCCAGACCTGGAAAGTAGATGGGCAGTTGGCGATTCCATTTATCAGTAGTCAACAGTAGGAGGCAATGGTCTAAAGTGTTCCGATTCAAGTGTTAAACAAGAATGATCGAGCAAAGATCCAATGCAAAGGAATTACTACATACCACATATGCCAGTTTGTACAAGTATATTGTGAATCTTCATAATCTGCATTTTCTAGGTTACAATACCTTAAAAACTTCTAAAAAATCATCAATGACAACTACATTTGACAATTTGACACCGAATCTTTCTTGGCTGACAAAAGAGCACATTAAAATCACCCCTGAAAAAACCAAGGTGGATCATATTACTTGAAAGAACTTTTAGACTAACCCAAAGTTCCACCCTTTCATGCGTGGTTGATTTTGCATGTACTACAATAGAATGGAAAGAGTCAGGCTAATAGAGTTTGTACCTCAAAGATAACTAAGTCCTTGTTTGAATCCTATTTTTTGAGTATAGATTTGTAGGCATGATTTTTTTGGAGAATGTCTGATTAAAATATAAGAAAAATTTTTGATTGCTTGCAAAATTATTTTATAGAGAGAATGTGAGTAAACCACATACAGAAAATATTAATAACTAGTCATAAATAACCTTATCCCATGCAGAACAAGTTACATTGCTTTTCCTCTATCACATAAGCCACTATACTTTGAACTTCAATTTCTTATATAACAAAGCATTATTTTATCAAGTAAATATATGATTTTGATATTCTCATGTCAGAGAACATCGGTCTATTTTGATATTCCAAAACAAAGAACCAAGGCCCCACTCAAAACAATGCTACGCAGCACTATTTTCAAAACAAAGAATCAAGTCCTAACTACATTAATCATGCATATAAAACCTTAAAATAATTTGAATTACACGTCAACTGAACGTTACAAATTTTGTTAAACTAGAGTAGGTTCCCAGGAAAAGTGTTAGACTTGGTCTAGATTTAGCATGTGTATTCACCAAACATCCAATACCAAATCTTTAAAATCTTTCAAAGCCCCCTAAGACCTCTGCACAATCTTTTGCAATACCCTAAACCAATGGTTCATCTTCCCAAATTGATTTACCTAAAGTTCTGATACCACTAATATAAAAATTTCATGTGAATTAAAGATAAACTACATAACGATTCTACATCCCATTATAGCACTTAAAAGTAGTAATCAGTACCAAGATGCACACAATTTTAGGGCTCAGATTTTGTACATGTGTCAAACATAGTCAACCCTAGTGTTGGATCCAACCCAAATATTTAGCACATAAAGTTTTGTAACTTACAAAAACAGAGAAACACGTTTTCATCTCAAACGCTAGGACAACAGATTAGCCTTAAAATCATTGACCATGCTTCAAATCTAATGATCTAGATTGCTCTAAACACACTGAAGTTGTTACTGAGTGGCAATCCAAGTAAAACGTGTTCTTAAAGTATCACTTTAAATGGGACCAATTTTGGACTGATCTTGTGAGGGTTGGACTTGGACCACTCGGTTCATCTCCAATTTAAGCCTAAGCCTGAAGATCAATTGTGGATCATTACAGCCCAAGGACCTGTTTGTCATTACATCTGAAATTATCTATTTTATTCATCCACAAATTATAACAACCTAACAATATTACACAGCACTTTTAATGTTCACAATATGCATAATAATGTCTAATAATATGACAACATTAGGTGCTACTAGATTTCCATGATTACGCAATGCTACTGAATGACTCACAAATCACAAGAGTTGCATGGCAAGCTCCAATAAACACACAAAGAAGATGCTTATAAAAGAACGACTTCCTAAAAGTGGAAATGCCAGGGTTTACGTTTGGTGGTTCTCTTTTTCTTCTCCAGACTCTTCCACTTCCCCGCTTATGTGAGACCCTGCATTGCCTTCATCGGTTTCCAAGGCTTCTGAAAACGCCAAAAGTAAGTATACTTCATTTTTTTAATGCTATTTATGTTTAAAAGAGTTATCCTCCAAAGTTAAATTTAAAATATACGTTAGGCATTACTAACAAAAGAACTTGTTTATTAATTTTTACTGGGTGAAATGTAAATTCAATAAAAACTAATGTAATTGTAATGGTAACATGAATAATAAAAAATTTCGACACTAAATCTGAATGTAACTAGAGAACAAGGGTATATTTATACCTGGTGTAGCACTTGCACGAAGTTCTTGTATGTCCAAATGTACCTCACCACTTAAAGCAGTAATAATATTCTCACTGCTAGGAGTTGAGTCCAAAGTACCATGATTAGGGTGTTTGAGTAAAGTACGCCATTCATCAATATATATTGATTGGTTAAGCGATAGATTAGGAATTTCACGCTTATGAAGAGCTTTCATAATTTCTTGAGTCTCTCTGAGAAGATGAGTTGCTTCCTTTATAATTTTTTCCCGTTCTTCTATGGCGCTGTTGTTGCATTTCTTGAGTATAGCTTGAGGTAAATTGGTCAGGCATGCAGCAAATATATCTGCAACAATAACTGAAAATCTCTCAAATACTTGAGTATCTGATGCTGAATGATAGCTTTCCTCATGGACCAACAACAAACTGTTGCTTATTTTGTACATTGAATTGGCAATTATGATATTTTCAGGCAAGTCAACTAAGCTTTCCATAGCATTTCCATTCATACTACTAGTAAATTCCTTCAAAATTTCTTCACTTCTATTTGCAAGATTCTGAAGAGTTTCTTTGGAGGATTTTGACACCCTGGCAATTTTTTGGAGATCCATGTCTAACCACTTGCGCCTCAATTCAACTAAAATCCATGCAAAATCTGCAGCTCTCGTGCTGCTCACCAATTTTTTATGAACATCCAGACTTTTCTCCGTTAGGCGCACATACTTAAAACCTTCAGTGACACCTCTTAACAACTGATTCCTCTTCTCATTTTGAACATTGGGAAGAGCAATCGTGATGCTAGTTAGTGTTGCCACAGCTAGACTCCAGCAATTAAGAGGTTCTATGCAAATAATTGGAGAGACTTGATCACTTTCAAATTTTGATACACCCTCGAAGCTGGTGGAATTCTCCATAAGCTCCGTTAGATATCTAGGCTGATGCTTTGCGCCCATCTTTACGGATGAATTAATAGAAGTGTTAATGAACGTCAGGTATCCATCATTTATTGCCTCACTTTCTAGATGTAAAACAAAATTTCTAAGATCTTGCTCATAACCAACCGCGTGTTCTGCTTCATTGGGATTGGCCGAGGCTTCAGATTGCCTAGAGAAAAAAAATTTTACCATCACCAAGCATCTAATGATTCTCATCCTTAAGATACCAAAAAAGAGTACGATGGCAATGGCCAATGGGATAATTAGTGTGGCACTGGATGCTGCATTCCAATCAAATAAGAAGATAATTCCACCGATTGAGATGGGAAGAAGGAACTTATTCAAGATCACAATCACTATCTGACTTCCAATACAAATGTTGATAAGTAGATTTCTGATGTGATAAATAATTTTTCTATGCTTCTGGCCTCGACCATATAATGGTGGGAGTCTCCTTTTCCACTCTACCAATCTTTTAATCCTGTAATTCTTTATTTCTAAGGAAATGCTACAGATGGTACAGTGTCTAATATTCCGTACAGTGTGAATTAAAGCTACTAAAAGTCTTCCCAAAGACATGACAGTGCAAAGAATCATGCCTACATATTGAGTCCAATAAACAAAATATACTGACCATTTATAATCAGAAGCAGTGGGTCGACCGCCATACAATATTCCTCTTTCAGAAATATAAGTTAAGACGCAGATCATGAATAAAACAACGCTGGCCTCAGATCTTACCATCACAAACTGAGGGTTACCTGTTTCTGTCATCACCCAGTACTTCTTCACGCACAACTTTAACTTCTCAAAGTCCATTATTTGGTCTCCTTGTAGTTCCGCTGCCAAAATTCTTGTTTGCAATTCTTTGTACTTACGTTCCAAATACCTTTTACTTGTAAATACCGTTAAAGCAGAAGAAATCAATACAATGAACGCATAAATATTCATGCAGACAATCACCACTTGCTTAACATCTTCAATCACGCGTGTGAATGCTTGGATGATAACATTTACGGTAAGCGTCACTATAAGGATACCCAATGCTGTCAAGTTCACTATTATATCTCTATCACTCATGGATCCTAGAGAAGGCATGAAATGAGTCGTTGAAACACACAAGAAAGCAGTGCTAGTAATTTTAGCGGCTTGATCATACACACCTTTCATCGGGGTAGTTAGATCCATTGACAACTTCACTGCGACGGCTAATACAGTCAAGGAAGCGGCGTTGAGAGAAGAAAATCTGCAAGGGAACCATAACTTTCTATGGCGGACAGAGATCACTGCATCAATGAATAGTGAAACAGTCATATTAGAGATGCTACAGCAGCGTATAGGCCTATCCATGGCATTGGTGCTTTAGAGTCCATCATTTTGCTCAATTATTCAGCTCTCTTCCCACGGCTGCTTTACTTTTGATTTAAGATGAGGATATGCTCGAGTGGTGGAAATTTCTTTGTTATTTCAATGCAACTTCAGCTAAAAGACAAAATAGCTTTTTCTTTTTATTAATATTTGTTTTACATTTTAGATTAAAATTCGAAAAATTGCATTGAAATTCTTGCAATGTGAAAGAATGGAGTTACTTGATTCTATTGAGGTGGTCAGTTATTACTTGCTATAATATTCATTGGCACAATTATTGTGATGAGTCATTACTTGCTATAATATGAGTCGAATTAAATTTTTTATTACTTTAAAATACAATTTTAACTTACAATCTGAAAAAACTTTATCAAATAGGGGCTATGTACTTTTAAAGAAATAATGCACAAAATTATGGCGAACACTTTCACTAACTGGACCTGGCCACACTCCGATATTGTGGTGAAAGGAGTGAGAAATCGAGATAATTTCAGTGCCAGGATGGAGACCACTTTCTTTGGCTGTCAAAATTATATCAACTTCTTAAATTGTAGTAATTTTTTATTGACTTCATCTTGTGATCTATATAAAAATGATTAAACCAGCTTTATGTTCAGTGGTTTAAGTTAGGTGGTTAGAGATAAAGACATTTCATGTGCTGAAAATATGAATAGAAATCACTTTCACCATAAAGAATCCTGTCGGCCATTAATGTCTCACCTTCACCTCACCACCATTACTGTCGGCCAGCAGTAAGATATTGATCTAAAAACTCTCCCTTTGAAACCATATAAGAAAATGCACATACCATCACCGCAGTTGTTCATCCGTGAGAACTTGAAATTTATATAGCCAGCATCCGCAAGTCTCTTACCATATATACGAGTAATAAGTTCTTGATTACCGACCCAAATTCCTGACAATTCCCAAAAAATAAAAATAAAAATAAAAATCTTCAAAATGCACATCTTTATAAGAAAACTAGTATGTTGAACATGCATAAGTGTATGTAAAAATGATAGGATGACATGGATAGAACTTTGAGCTATATATAATAAGAGGTTGATGTGTAACTTTCAACATTTACTACCATTTATGATTCCTCGATAATAAAATGAGTGATTTTTAAATATATCTTGAACAATTCAATTTAAACTTGATCCTATTTTGACCTGCTTCCACCTTCATTTTATTTTTTATTTTTTATTTTTATTTTTTTTGTGGATGGGTGGGGGCAGGGGCAGACCCGGGGGGGTGGGTTTACTGGTTCAAGTGACCCTCTAGATTTTACAAAAAGAAAAAATTTAGTTTAGCTTCTTCTTTTTTTCTTTTTTTTTTTATATTTTATTAAAAGGTATCCTATAAATTCTATTTGTGACCCTCTAACCCAAATCGTCTAGGTCCACCCCTGGGTGGGGATGAGTTGCGTAAAGGGTTTTGAGTTTTATGAAGTCGCATACCACAACTATATCGGATTTCTTTTTCAATGGGACAAAATAGATATGGAATGATAATTGTATTTTGTCATCTTCATTTTTTCTTACTTTTCCTGTTTTCCGTTACAAATCATTGACATAACAAAAATTAATGAAGACAATATAAATAAAACAATCTCGCAACCAATCAGTTTTCTTTAAGTTGTTGCGATGGCAAGACATTTGCAATATTTGCATATCCTTCATGCCTCTAGACGCTACGATTGAGCTGTTTTCGTTTAGAAACGATGCATCACAGATTAGGCTCCCAAAGAACTTTGTCTTGCTCCAAAATTCACGTCAAGACCAAATTGCACTTTATTATGATTAGCTTATCAACCAAAAATAGATCATCGTAGCATTGCATTCAGTAAGAGTCTGAACCTGCAAGGCAAATAAAAGTGTATATGTGAAAACTACCAAACTGGAAAAATATCAAACTCTGAAACTTGAAGCAAATTCATGTCACTAATCAACATAAAAAATTTATAGAGAAAAAAAAAAATATATATATATATACACACTATAATTTAAATTTGGAAAGTTGGCGGACTAAAGTGACATATGTATTAATAAAATTTTATTTAGGCAAAATACTTAGATTTCAATAGAACGAAAATAAGTATATCGATAAGCGCTCGTTGGATAGCTCATAATTAGTCATTTATATTAGCCTCGAGAAAAAGTTAATTCGGATAAGCGAAGCTTAAGTTATTAAAAGTTTAAAGGATTTGTCATTAACTAGTATTTGATGGTTAAGTTGGTTATGGATTTTAAAAGTTTGGTAGCCACGTGGTATCTAGATAAAGGAAAATCATCTTTTTATTTGATTATGATAATGACTTGTTGAAATCACATTGGAATTTCATATTGTTTTACGGGTAATATATATATATATATATATATATATAACACATAAAAGTTAGAAAATTTTCACCACGAAAGCACTTTACATACAAGGCAAAAGAATTAAATTCTGGCCACACGTATTTCAAAGTAGAATTTACACCCATTAATCATTATTTCGAGCTTACACATACAAGTGATTTGAGAAAAAGATTTCAAAATTTAATTAATCATTATCCAGTTCTAATAGTTTATTTTCATGTTGTTAAATTATTATGTTTATGAAAGTTCAGCAATATGATATAATATGTATGTTATGGCCATCTGATACTAAAGATGTGGTGTTTATTGAGCTCTTAACTGTTTCTATGAAAGTATGATATGTTGACACATATATTAAAATATTTTTATTCGTGATTGCACCATGATTTTTCGTGTTCTACTGAGTATTCTCATGTACTCATTCTTTTTCCATACTCCTCACAAATTAGAACTGACTGTTGGTTGGCAGGCGATGAGGTGCAGTCATGATGCCATAAATTATGGAACCCAATAATAATAATTCGATAAATTTGACCATGGATTATATTTCAGTATTTGTTTTAGTTTAGTTATTATTGTGTAAATTGTTATTTAGAGTTAAGAGTATGTTTATTTGGTTATGTTTTATTTTTTATTGGAGGGACCAAAAATTTCGTATTGGGTTGTTTGACAGGTTTATTTAATTATGGAATGAAAGTTTTAGTAACAATTTAAATGTTAAAATTTGGGTCGTTACAATTTGGTATCAAACTTTAGGTTTAACTTTTCTGTAGACTCGTATATTTTTCATTGCTCTAATATAAAAGAGAGAATGTAAATCCACTATTCATTTTTTTCTGCTGCTGTTTTCACACTAGCCAGATTCTTCCACTGTTCCCAAAATGGTTATTTCTTGTTCATCAAGCTGTTCTCTAAATATATCTGTTCATCAATTGGATTTTGTTTCAATCTTGTCCAATTGTGGTGGACACATTATTTGCTCCAATTTGACTTTTGTGGACAAATGGCAGGTTAAAAAAAATTGAATTCTGACAACTCTGAGATATGTAATGGGGTGAGAAATAAATGACTAATCAAATCTTTCGTGTAACTTTACATTTTCTATTTGTCTTTTTATAAATTTGATGACATGCACATTTATCTCGTTAAATTTATTATTTATATCTCAAGTAAAACATGATTCCTCTACTAGTATATGCAAGCATGAAGTAAGTTTTGTTACCGTAATAAGAATATAAACATGATATGTTGACCATATATAATAGATTGATGTGGATAATAATAATAATATTATTATTATGGATGAAGAGTTTAAGACCAAGTATCTAGAACTCCTTGATTAGCCAAATAAAATTTCGAGGACAAAATTCTTTGACGGATGGGAGATTGTAACGCTCTGAAAATTTATAGAAAAAAAAAATTTATTTGTACTATATACTATATTTTAAATTTGAAAAGTTGGGGGATTAAAGTGATATATGTATAATACAATTTTATTTAGGTCAAATATTTAGATTCCAATATGACGAAAATAAGTATATCGATATGGGGCTCGTTGGATAGCTCGTAATTAATCATGTATATTAGTTTCGAGAAAAAGTTAGTTCGGATAAGTGAAGCTTAAGTTATTAAAGTTTAAAGGACTTGTCATTAACTAATATTTGTTGGTTAAATTGGTTATGGATTTAAAAGTTTGGTAGCCACATGAGTATCTAGATTAAGGAAAAGCATCTTTTTATTTGATTATGATAAGGACTTCTTGAAATCCCATTGAAATTTCATATTGTTTAACGGGTACTTTAGGTGACCTACTTTCTATTGGATTTGTCATATGAGTAAATATATATAACACATGGAAGTTAGAAAATTTTCACCACAAAAGCATTTTACATACACGGCAGAGAAGCTAGAAAATATCGAGAAATGCAAATTTACCAAATTTTAGGGCCACCACCATTCACCTTAAAGCTCAAACAACAACAGAAACCAATCCAGCAAAAAAGTGAATGCCGAACGCGTAGGGATAAAATAGTCCAAGTTTCACATCAGTACTCAAAACTCAAAAATGAACACCACCGCAAGGTCCATCTAATCATTTCGAGGAAATTGTTTGAGGAATTCATCACAAGAAGAGGCCTCACGTGTCCACAAGTGCGATCATCAGAGTTCCACACACTGCGTCATAGGTCACGCGCCACACACTTAGTCCTTGTTTGAGCCCCATTTTTCAACCAAAATATATTTTTCAACAGTGATTTGACATCATTTCAACCACACATTCTTCAATAAAATAATATTATACGCAAATCAAAATTTTTTCCTTATTTTTTAACCACACATTTCCCATCAATACACTATTCAAAAATTCATTTTCTTCACAAAAATGGGGCTCAAACAAGGGCTTAGTACCACCTCCACCTACACGTCTCAAATTCAGTCTACATTTCTCCAACAGATAAATAGTTTCACCTGAAAATGTAAAAATAGGTCTGGACAAAATTTTCAAAAAACTGGGGACTTTCGATTTCGTTTTCTGCTGGATTTTCAGTGCTTTTTCAAATCAATTTTTGGTCAAAAATTCACCACCAACGTGGTTCTGATACCAAGTGTTGCGCAAGTGATTCAAGTGGTGAATTTCAGGCTCAGTTTTCAATATCTTATCCCAAATCAAACACAATCAACCACTACTTCAATTGCTCCCCCTTTGCACCCTCTTAA